ACTATAATGATGATGATGATGTTCTCCTAGCCGATTCCGGCCACGGCGGCCAATCTTATTGAGACTAGCCAACTGCGCAGGAGATATTATAGTGCACAAGTGTACGCGCAGACACAAGTGCACTATCTATTCCTGTCACTCTCATACTCTGGTGGGACGACCATTCGACACGACCAGTGAGAGTTAAGGCGCAGGACCGACGGCTTTATGTGCTCTCCGAGGCACGGGGGTGAAACACCGCCAACTTCCCAACTCCGGGCTGTAACTGAGACTTACTATACAGAAAGACTCAATAAGTAACTCGGCCTGATCCGGGACTCGAACCCAGGACCTCCGGGTGTGCAGCCGTACATGCTAGCCACTACACCACCGAGGCAGTTGAAGGTTGAGGTACTATAATATACATGTATTATACATATAACCCTTCCTCTTGATTCATTTTCATATTGCTGAAAACTGCATTAAAATCCGTTGAGTTGTTTAAAATCCGTCACTCCGTTTCGACGTGAAAGAAGGACAAACAAACAAACACACTTTCACATTTATAATATTAGTATGGATAGATAGTACAAGTCGAAATTTAAGACAACGATATGGTTTGATGCTTAATTGATCTCAGGGTTATTAGGCCAAACTTCTATCGTCTCAATTTTTTTTCATTTTACATATTTTTTTATGTTATAAATTCACAATATTATCCATAGTTTTCAATAGGGGGCCCGTTATATCTTAGGGGCCCTTGGCTGCAGTCGAAAAAGCTGATACCTATAAGAAATATTGATTGAAGAAAATCGACCACATTTAATTGTTTCATCGTTACAGTTCTTTAAGTTATATAGGGAGTCTGTAACCTTCCCCAATAAATAGACTATAATCTATAATTGTATTATATATCTTCCAAAACGGATCCGTAGTTCCAGAGATAAGCACCTACGTGCAGACAAACAAAGAAATTCAGGTTTATATATTATTATTAAACCAGCTTTATATATTTAATATTGGTAAAAAATATGTAAATTTTAATTAGGCTGTCTAACATCCCGCCCTGTCTTTTTGTAGCGGAGTAATTATATGTATATACCTACTAGTAAATAAACTATGCGAGTGGAGCAAAACCAAGTCAATATATTTTATTTTTCTCCATATAAACTTTAACTATGCCAAAGCTCATATTCCTTCGAACGAGCAATATGCTTAAAAAGGGGTATATTTAGATTAATGTAAAAGTTTAAAACGGTGTTTGCATGTTTGTGACTTAATAAAACCTCCATCGTTGAACAGATTTGGATGACACTTGGCACGCACATAGAGCAGTCCTTGACTAACACTTTTATTCCGTATTTATTTCGTTTTCGTTTCGAATCAATTTTGTTTTCTTTTTTCACGTAGTTCTTTTAATAATTTCGCTACTATTACTGAAAAACCATAGTTTCTTACCGCTATAAACTAAGATTTACACTTACACTACATTTACACGTACTAAACTGCCTTATTGGTCTAGTGGCTAACATGCACGGCTGCAGGTCCAGAGTTCGAGTCCCAGGTCAAGTACAGCTAAGGTATTTCTTTTAAGAAACCCAGTGGCAATGCAGAGCTGAGGAAGATGGCGAAATTACACTTCCGTACCTCAAACAGCACGTAAACGGTCCTGAGTCTGATGTCAATCGTATTGAATTCTCGTCCCCTCTTCCGAAAGAATGTTAGGTAGGTTTTTCCTTAGATATTTATAATTGCTGCATCAAAAGGATTCTTGCGACCATTAACATTTTTTATCTATTTGAGATATTTTGGATAAAAGGGTATCTAAGGATGTACGTAATAATTTTTTTCAGAGTTACAAACATTGCGTAAAGAATTACTAAGAATGAACATGACCTATAATAATCTATACCTATCATAATATCTAATACTCACATATTAAAAATATCTATTTTAATAAATATTAATTTGATAAACAAGACAATTTTATTTGACATTCGAATTGGAATTACTTTTTTCCAAAAAAAATTCTAATAAAGCTTAAAATATTAAGCTTTAGTAGAAAATTAAAACCACATTATGGAAACACATTGCTTGACAGTTGACTTAACTCCGTATAGCGTCATCTAATTACTAATTAAAGATTTTAATTACACCATCAAAGGAGATCGGCTGATTTGTGAACTGTGTACTTAACACAGTACAGTGCACTCGAGGATGAATTTCAATGTATGTACACGTTGTTGTATTTACTCGACTGCGGCGAAGCCCAAAGGGGGTTATGTGTTTGACATGTATGTATTTGTATGTCCGATCCTATGTTCTCTCGTAATTATTAAACGCCGATTTTAATGATTCATCATTACATACTAGCCACATATTATGTCTCCGACTGCATATTACTATGTTCCACTTCAACTTGTTCTCACCTTTTTTTACGTGTTTTTTTTACTCTCGTGAATATTTTTTTATTTATATGTAAATATATATGTAGATAGTATCAATCAAGAGGTCTCATCACAAAGAAAAAGTTTGTTCAAGTATACCTATAATGATACTATCTGCCTGTCCATCGTTCGTCTAATTTCTATCTAATGAATGTTTGTCTATGTCTATCTAATGAAATTCTGAATTGAGATATCCATTCCATGAACGAATTTGGTTAATTCGTTCATGATCCATTCTTAGTTCGTGACATCTAACACGTAAGCAAATACTAAGTCTATTGATGACATATTGTTCTCTTTGACGTATCAACGAATAACTTTTTTAAGTCCAGACCACAGATCTAGAGAATGGACCGATCAATACTCTCATGAAATTGACCACTCTCTAAAAAGAGAAAAAGTGAACGCGCGCCCAATACCTGTCTTTTATTCTAATATGAATTTATGAATGGCATGTAAAAAATATATAATATTATTCAAAATTATAATATTATAATATTATAATGGAATGTAAAATGGTTATAAAAATTTATCTTCATGAATGTATTAATACAAAAGACTTCTGGTCACACAAACGTTTTGTCTCTGCCGCATTTTAGTTGACGGCTGGAAAATAAAATTTAAAAGGTCGTGCCTTGAGTTTTGGGCAAGAATTATGAAACTTACTTGGAGATTTCTGTACATAAAGGCTGATTTTTTGAATATAAATAAAACACATACATACGCCACGACACAAATTTATTACAGCGAGAGGGCAGTGTCAATTGGATTAAGGCCTTCGTTCTAAAATACATGTATTAAATGATATGTACATCGCTGAACAACCGGTAACTATAAAACTTTTCTATATTTACATCCATCTGAATTCTTAATTCTCATTAAATAAAATAAATATATAATAAATTAAATAAGAAGGTTTCACAGTAATCTATTAAAAGATACCCATGGAGAATCTTTCTTCCATATTTTTTTTTCTTTTATTATAGAAACAACAATGAAGTACGAGTTGCACTTATTACATATACCTAGTTTTACCATATCCTTTTTAGGGATGTTATTTTAATAAACACAATTTCGACATTCATTCGAATTATTTCGATTTCTTATTGTAATTGGAATACAGCTGCAATATAAAACAGTTGATCGTCTCAGTGCTTATTTGTCACTTACTTTTAAATGTCAATTCTATTGATACTAGCCACTCACCCTCGCTTCGCTCGGGTTCATTCCTAGCTTGCTTCCCAATATAAACTTTCATCCCCATTTTCACCCACTTAAGGGATGATTTCCGGGATAAAAACTATATATTCCGGGATAATCCTATGTCCTTCCCAGGGTCTCAAACTATCTTCTTAGCAAATTTCATCTAAATCGGTTCAGTAGGTCCAGAGATTACCCCCTACAACGTCAGAAACTCACAGACTTTACCTCTTTATAATATTAGTATAGATTAAATAAACATTTTACTTTAATAAAGCCGATAAATATATTTTATCTATATATGTATGTATATAAATCTTAGAAATAAAGTTTTGTTTTTAAAATAGAGGAAAAAACCTAGCTACTGTAAAGTACAATAAGTATTGATCGTTTGAACAAATAAGCACTAAGGCGACAAGTTGTGCTCATTATATTTGTTTAAGCACTGTATAAGTGGAATTCAAAAAGTTACATTTCCCCAACTTTTTTTTTAAATTATAATTTTAATAACAATTTTTAATTAAACCAAAATACATTAGTCAAAATGAAAACTCCATTAATGATGTATGGCAAGTTATTAACATTTCCGTTTTAATTTAAGAATTACTGTTACGACTTTTTTTAGGCTTAATATAATAAAAACCGTGTAATAATAAGATAGAATAAAAGAAATAAAAACTTAAAAAAAACCGACTTGGAAAAAAACACTAAAAAGTCGATGCCAGCAGTAAATGCTTGAATATCTAATAAGTAAATAAGATAAGGTAAAACTCTTAATAAGTTGAAATATTATACATCAATTTGTGATATTTATATGTATGTGGTTTTTTATTTTTGGTTTAGAATTGCTTAGCTTTGCACCGGCTTTTTCAAGTTGGTTTTTTTTTAATTTTTATTTTTCAATTTTGACTGTAGACAAGTAGTAGCAAGGTAAGAAGAAAGTATTTAAAAAAATCAGTAGGTAAAAATCTATCACCCCTATTTTCTACATTTAGGGGTGGATAATTTTTTTTTTAAATTTAAATGGACCAACTTTAATACTCTATCCAATAAAAAAGGATCATCGAAATTGAACTCAACTGTAAAAAGTTATGCGTGGTCAAACATTAAAAAAGTACGTGTCTAGTTGAGAACCTCCCTTTTTTACGTCGGCTAAAAATAAGATAGCACATTTTTTGTCGAGCACAGATTAAAGAAAACCATGATTTTTTTCTCATCCCATAATCCTATCTCATAGAAAAATTACAATCTAGTGACAAAAAAGAAAAAATTGCTTCAAAAACAATATTTTTAATATCTATCAATCAACTGACAATAGAAATTCTTACAATCCATCATATTATCTTATTACGACAAAAATGTTCTAGGTTTTTAAGCGGATTTATGGAGAGGCCTAAGATTTCTATGATTTTGCAAACACCGAATTGTACAAAATTGGTAATTATCGTATTGAAATGGCGGTTTGGGGAGATGTACGCCGCAAAGGAAACATCTCATCATCTCTGCTTTCACCTGAAAATAAATTTTCTGTTAGAAACTGACTGACTAACTTACATGTCATCAGAATTTCACCCTTAGGTATAAGTGCGAGTTTCCACCCATGAAGTTCAGTAAGTCAAAAATGTACGTCATATAAATATTCAATTCAATTCTCTTGTTAATGGCTTGTCAAAAGCAGGTCAATTGGGCGCTTAAGCACGCCCCGCTCCCTAACGTTTCACATACTACCTGTATGTCTACAGGTGGTTTGTGTAAATGAACATTAAAAAAAAGATTAGAAGAAGAAAAATGTCGTTAAAAATAAGATTATTATAATATTACACTAAATTGTATGTGAAAAAACGAAGTAGATCCGTCCAAGAGTTTCTCCTCCAGAAAAAAGTTAATCTACAAAGTAATTCTGTTAAACTTTATTAAAACATAAAAAATAGCACAGGGGACTAAACTTTTATGCATCGATAAATAACTTAAATATTATATTGGGGCCTTCCTGAGTAGTGTGCTCTTATTTATTTTTAATACTAGCGAGTTACCCTCGCTTCACTCGTGGGTGCCTAGGTACGTTTTAATTTTTTTGAGCGGAGCTCTAATTCTTTTTTTAAAATAAAAGTAGCCTAAGTTATTCCTTATAACATCAGCTATCTGCCAGTGAAAGTTTCGTAAGAATTAGTCCAGTCGTTTCGGAAATTACCCGGAGCCAACAGACAGACAAAAATTTAAAAAATTGCATTTTTCTTACAAGTACATAGTAGTTTTACATTTAGTAAAACTAAATGCATATGAAATTATATACGGTTGGTTGCTGTTATTCTGACATTACAAACAAACACTTCTCTCATCATCTATATAGATGTAGAGATTTTATCAAACAACAGATCATTATAATTATTCATAAAGATTTACCTTTTGAGCATCAGTCATTTGCAAGAACTTATTTGTCTGATTCTTCTCCGCCTGCTTCTCCTTCTCTCTCTGCCGCTTCGCTCGCTTCTGCTGAGCTTTCTTTTCCTTCTCTTGTTCTAACTGTTCTAGAGTTACGGGACCCGGAATTTGTGACTGTAGAGAAATGTGTGGGAAATTTACATAAACGTATTTCTTTTACTACGATACAACCGCATATAATGATGAAAATTAACATAATATATTCTATTTTTCAACGTGAATTTAGACTTATACTTAACCTCTTTATAATATTTTTACGGAAATAATATAAAGAGGTGAAGTATGTATGTTTGTATGTAGGGGTTAATCTCTGAAACTACGGATCCGATTTTGAAAACTCTTTTACAAGTAGAAAACTACACTACCGCCGAGTGTAGTTCAGTTACATTATCGGCATACTAAACTGCCTAAAAAAAAATGTATGGCAAAAAAATCACCTAAGAACGCACCCGAGCGAAGCGAGAAAAAAATCGCTAGTATCGTTAAAATAAAATTAGGGTACACATAACGAACCGCCATATACCTACTCATAATTTTAAACGTCATCTATACCAAGAACACACGAGTGTTAATAACCTCTCATAACATAAACATAGTAACATATCGCCAAAATGAACCACTCCAAACAATCATACCTTTTAAATAAAACTATGTTTTCGGATTACTTCGCGGATTTATTTTGATTTTTAGTTCCCGACGTTTCGAATGCTTTACAACAATCATGGTCTGTAAGACCGAAGAAATCCGAAAAGATAGTTTTATTTAAAATGTGAAATATTCGCGTAAATCATACCTTATTATAGTTATATTTGTCAGGATACTGCGCCTGGAAGAGTCTGAAGGCTACGCGCGTGTCGTGGTGCGGCGCCGCCGCGTACGGCGTCTGCTGCTGGTGGTTCTTCACGCAGGGGTCGCTGCCCGCTGAGAGCAGCTCTCTGGACAGATAATATTGGGGTTATGATATTTACTGACTGAGGAAGTACGTTGTAGAGTTACGAGACGTCGTGGACAATTGCGAAACGATTTCCATTATTATTCTTTAATTAATCGCATTACTATTTATACCATACTAGCAACTCACCCTCGCTTCGCTCGGGTTCGTCCCTGCCTTGCTTCCCAATATAAACTTTCATCCCCATTCTCACCCCCTTAAGAGATGATTTCCGAGATAAAAAACTATTTCACTCACTCACTTTCCATATCATGAGATTTAAAAAAATATCTTATTTTAATAAAAGAATTTACGTTTAATTTGCTTCTATACAAAACATGTTCTGACAATAACAAAAAAAAAAATATCCAATTTGGTGCAGTCGATCAGAAGTCATGCGCGTAGTACGTCATGCATTTCGGACCGTATAGGACCGTTTGGCAACAAAGAGTATTTCGAGTTGATTAATCATTTTTCCGTACAAAATGTATGGGAAAAGTTTTTGGCGATTTCTGTCATTTCTAGTACTCATACCTTAAATCGTCCCATAGTCTTTTGATCCCTTTATGAAATAGGATCGGTTAATATAAAAAAAATGTTTTTTGGTATATTAGCATTTTTTTCGCAAACTGTATATTTTTTCAAAATTTTTAAATGCAGTTCAGAATATTTCAAAAAGTTACGGATAGTCTCCTAAGAACGTTTTCCTGTAACTATAGCAGTTAAGGTACCTGCCCTTACTGTCTAGTCTCAAAAATCCACCCTGTATGTATAACGCAAGCAACAATAAGTAAGATAAGAGAAGATAATATATTTTTTTACAAACTGTAATAGTTACAGTAAAATAGATATATTATTGGTGTATACTCACGTGACCATATTAGATTTGGAGGCGATGGCAGCTTTGTGCAGCGCGGTGTTCCCGTCGCGCGGGTCCGCCGTGTTGCACGCGCTCTGCAGCTCGCCCTCCTCCAGACCTTCTAGAATCGTCTCCAGCGAGGTCAGCTGCTCGTCTGATATGAGCTTCCACATCTGCGTTAAAAAATCATCTATAAATATAGTTAGTACTAGCTATCTTCAAGTGAATGTCCCGTCAAAATCAGTCCAGTAATTTCAGAGATTATCCAGAACAAACAAACAGACAGACAAAAATTAAAAAAATGTGTTTTTCTTATAAGTACCGTATATAATTTCATATGCATTTAGTAAAACGCTGTTATTTTGACATTAGAAACAGACACTTCAATTTTATTTATCTGTATAGGTGAAATAGAGTATATTATATTAGATATAATATGTAGAGGTTAACTGGAGGAATAGTCATCTTGCCTTGCTCTCGCTTAACACCCTAGGGAGCTGGTTGTAACTGAAAATCAGCCCTGCTTGAGATTTCGGTCTTAGCAGCATCAGCTGAGTTATTACCGTTTGCCATAAGTTAGTTTAAGCTTTTACTGATTCTGTTAACTTTTTTTACTCTTTTTTTTATAGCAACAAATACTTATATTATAATTAATGTTTGTAGTTTGTACCTACACCACATTATTATTTTTATATTTTCTCACGCTTGAGGTAGAGATCTTTTAAAGAGATGTCATCCTTTCTACACATGATATCTGTTTTTACTTGTATGTTTTTTTTCTGGTACATAAATAAATACTTTTTTATTTATTTATTATATAATATGTTTATATACATAGGTATGAGGAGTTGTTGTGGGTTATATTATAACACGGTTTTCCCGTGGGAATGTGATAATTTCCCACGGTAAAAAGTAGCCTATGTCACTCTCCAGGCCTCCAACTATCTCCATACAAAAAATAATGCAAAACCGTCACTCTGTTTCTAGTTTCTACGTGAAAGAAGACAGACAAACAAACAAACAAACAAACAAACAAACAAACAAACACACTTTCACAATATAAATATTAATAGGAAGTATGGATTTTACACCTGTATTTAAAATTTATTTATTACTATACAGTTCTTTTTCATATCGACACATGCAAAGAACCTTTATTTTTTTTTAACGTTGAGAATTTACGCATACCACCTGCATACATACAGGTGGTTATGTGGGACTTACGGGCTAGAAAAGCTGGTAGATTTCAAACTTTCCCCATAGCAAGATTATTTAAAATCCATTAACTCACTGACTAACTAAATATCTCCAAAACTACTAAACTTGTTATGTTGAATTAGGCATCTAGGTAATTTATAGGTAGAAGATGTCAGCTAAGAATGAATTTTTGTTTAATCCCTCCACGACCGCGGACACGCCGTCGTTACAGTTAACAAAAGTTTTCTTAGAAATTTATCTGGAGGTGTTATTTATACAAAAGTCAAATGATTTTGCTGCTTGAGACAAATCTGAGTTATTCTGGTCAAAGGTAAACAAATAAAAAAAATATCATATAATACCTTTTTAACATTTGCTGATATTTTCACAGTATTGACAGGCACTTTCTTGGCTTGTTTATCTTTTTCTTCGGGTTTCTTCTTCTTTTTCTTCTTAACGGTCTGTTCTTTCTTTTCTAAGTTTTCTTCTTCACTATCTGAATTATCACTTTTTAAGGCACTATCATTTAATAGATCTTTTCTAGAGTTCGTTATCACACCATTAGAACTTTGCTCTGAAAGGATTTTTATCCAACCAACAGGTGTTTCTGAATCTATGAAACATGGCCCTTCGTCTTCACTTGATAATATTGCAGTTGGTAATTCGCGTGGGGCTCGTTCTCTGGAAATAGAAACATAAAAATAAATTACTTATTTTGTCAAAAACTAAATTGATTCTTCTCCACTATTTAAAAAAATATTTTTAAGTTCATAATAATATTTGCACTAAAATTTCTAAACTGTTGATCTAAACTGGTGGTTGGTCTAAGCTGTGATACAGTTTTAGCTTATACTGCACTTGCTAGGTTCTCTCAGACATGTAGGTTTTCCTTCACCGTAAGACAAGTCGTGATCATGTTAAAAAAGATTCGCACGTGAAAATATCAGAAGTGCGAGAACCAGGTTTTGAACCCGCTTGAATCGGTTTTCCAAGCAAGCGCGCTATCACTGCCTTCTTTCTTAATACCTCCTAAGAAAACCTTTTTCTTATTTCAACAAATATTATTTGCATGTTAAGTAGCCTGTAATTGTGATATACACAGTAACACTTTCTTATGTATAACTATACTTTGTAACACTTTATTATGTATAACTATATTAAGTTAAAAAATGTATTCGTAGTATATAACGTAGGCTTCCTAATAAAAATAAAATAAAAATAAATACCTCCTTAAAATATTTTTGTGTAAAGTTTCATATGTACCTAGATTTAGCTCTGTCTATAGGTTTGTTGGGACTCTTCTGTGATTTCTTACTGCGTTCAACACTTGTATCACTGTTAGTTTTTGTCGTGGACTTGCTTGTTGAAGCTATTAAGGCCCTTTGGAAGAGCTCCATTGTGTCTAAAGGAAAAAAAGTTATAAAACTTACATTAAAAAAAACAATCATAAAAAATATACATTTTATTTCACTTTATCAAAATGTGTATTCAGCCTTTTTCAACGTTCCACTGCTGGGCCCGGACCTCCCTTCAATACGAGGGGGATCGGGCCATAGTCCACCACGCTGGCCAAGTGCGGGTAGGAGGACTTCACACGTCTTTCGAAACGTGTTCACGATGTTTTCCTTCACCGTAATTACTCAAATCTTCATTAAAATTTGCATAAGAAATAATTAAAATGATACAAACAAAATAACATACCATACACTTCAATACTAGCAACTGTCTCGTGTACTCTCTGGACTTCTTTATATGTAGGTTTCCTTGTAGGGAAAGGTAATGCTCTAACTCGCATATCATCTCTATTTATTGGTGAATTCTTCCCGAACAAAGCTGATTGGTTCACCGAACCCACTGCTCTGTACAGAACTAGGTAACAACCTTTCAGATCCTCTGTCCAACTAGCCATTATATCTTGGACGTGCTGGAAAAATAGATTCTTATTAAGAAAACAAAAGTAAATCTGGAAGTCTTGGGTTCGACTCCCGAGTCAAGCATGCCCACTGGTTATTTTATCAAGACATACTCGGTAATAGTCCGGAGTTGAGAAGTTAGTGATGTTTTACCCAAGTGCCTCGGAGAGCACATAAAGGCCTTGGTCCTGCATCTGATCTCCAACTGGTCGTGTCCAATTGTCACCCCACCAGAATATGAGAGTGACAGGAATAGAGTACACTTGTGACTGCATATTTGTATGCCTTTTATGGGGCATACTAGCACACTATAAATTATAGTAAATGATGATGATGTTCTCCTGACCGATTCCGGCCAAGGCGGCCAATCTCATTGAGACTAGCCAACTGCGCAGGAGATATTATAGTGCACAAGTGTACGCGCAGACACAAGTGCACTCTCTATTCCTATCACTCTCATACTCTGGCGGGACGACCACTCGACACGACCAGTGAGAGTTAAGGCGCAGGACCGACGGCTTTACGTGCTCTCCGAGGCACGGGGGTGAAACACCGCCAACTTCCCAACTCCGGGCTGTTACTAAGGCTTACTATACAGAAAGACTCAATAACTAAACTTTGCCCGACCCGGGACTCGAACCCAGGACCTCCGGATGTGCAGCCGTACATGCTAGCCACTACACCGCCGCGGCAGTTAAAAAAGGTGTTAGTAAATACATAAATATTAAATATGTTGGGACGTGGGATGCTAACCACATAACACACAGCACCATCTTGTTCCATGGTAAGCTACGAGGCTTATGTTATGGATACCAGATAGTTGGGACACTACACATATGTAACTTTAAATACATATATATTATAAATTTAAACACCCATAACTGGAATACAAGCATTCGTGCTCATCACCCAAATGAAATGAATGCCCCACCGGGACTCGAAACCGCGACCGCTAGCACAGCAAATAGGGTCACTAAAAACTGAGCCAAATGTGTAGTCAAGTACAAGCACAAGTATGCGCCAAACAGACATTATAGTAGGAGAGATAGAGAAATATTGTACTCTATATCCCTTAAGGCTCTATATGTCTATATCTCTATTTCTCATCCACCAACCTCTAAAAACTGCGCCTGGTTATATCTCCTCAAGCTAGCTCCGGCTGATCGAGGCGCGTTTCCATGCTGGTCTCTCGATATCTGCGACTGTCCTTGCCCACGCCTTGTTACATACGAATGCATGGTCTTGTGCAACACTACCACACCACCAGAGAAAATGGCACCGGCAAAACGGCCGCCAGAAACCATTAGAACAGCCCATCGTTGGAAACCAGGAATGGTGAGTCGCTGGCACCTCTCTATCCACGCGTCACCTTCTCCATCAGTTGACAGTTCTTCCTATGAAACAATTCATATAATAAAGAATAAACATAGATGTAAAACATAATTGACAAAGATATATTTTTCACTTTGTTTAAGACCCTTGCAGTATTTTACTAGTATCACAGATCAGATAAATATACTATACTTTACTAATTATATATACTACAGATGCCTCATTCCATACAAAAAATTGGACAGCGCTAATTCGCGCTATTCTTCGGGCATCTTTTGTTTGCTTGAATAGATAATAGACATCATTGATTCACAAATAGTTAAACTGTTTATTTTATAAATATGTGCAAACTAATGTATGGTTAATATTATAAAATTCATTCTGCATTGGAATAAAAAAAATCGGTGATTTTAACTATTTTTAACCGTGATAAATAATTTATAAAAAGTAAAAGCACCATCTATGAAACCCATCATCTGATTGCTGATATTTTAATAATCATTAAAATTATGCAAATTTGATTTACGGATGCATTATGTCGTTTTCCTTCACTTAGAATGTTTTTTAAAACAATGATATATCTTTATGAGATACATTTTTTTATCTTTTATTATTTAACACAACTTTAATAACAAAACAATACATATTATAATGTTATCTATTGACATTTATTTAAACTAAAGTATTATATATATATATATATATATATATATATATATACATATATATATATATATATATATATATATATATATATATATATATATAAAGTAAAGTATTATATATATATATAAAGTAACTTTATTAAAACTAAGTAGCCTATGTTTTACTCGTGGTAAATTATTACTTTACTAAATTTCATCTAAATCAGTCCAACTGTTTCAGTGTGAAGAAGAAACAAACAAACACACACACTTTTACACACATATACAAACTTTTATTTATAATAATAGTCAGAACAGTAGATATGTATATGTATGTGCATAATATGTACTTGTACATAATACATATTATGTTGCAATCTCTCAATTTGTTAAAATAAAATTATTAAATATAGTAATAAAATAATAATTTGTTGATAAAATTAAGCTCCAAAAAAAATTCATACACATTGTAACAAATTAAAAAAAAATCTTTACAATTTATAAATTAAGCTATGTAATATACAAAGAAGTCTAAAACTAAGAACTTTTAATTAAATCTTTTAAGCAAAAGAAAAGCTTTTAACTTAGGAGAAAATCTTTACAGATATTATGATGACTCATGGTAATATTACCTTTTTATGGTGTAATATGCATCTATATATACAGAAAACTTTTCCCTTTTGGTTGGTAAAAAATGCTTTACAATGACGAGTGGCGGCAGCAAAAAGATCACTTGGAGGATTATTTCCTGTATATTCTGTTTCAGAATCGCTACCTGATACACTGGAATCATCTAAAATATAAAAAGCTCTTTTAGATACAGTATAAAATTTTTAATAATATAAGCATTTCAGTCCAAAATATAAATTTAATATGAGTATTAAGTCTCATAATGTATTTAGTTCTTTCTAAAAATAAAAGTTATCAAAGAGGTTATTTTAAAATATAATTTATTTTGTAATTTATTACAGACAATGTATTTTTAATTTTAAATAAATGTACTTACTATAAGTACAGAGAATTACTGTAATCATCAACCTTCTGACAATATAGGTATTAAGTATTTTTTTATCTCTTATGAATTTATCATTTGATATAAAATTAGGTAATAAAGGTAAAAAGATTAGAACATACTATGTTACTCAATTATATTAAGTAAAGTTTAGCAAAACTTAATGAAATTTAAAATAATGTAGAATTACTATTGAATGGTATTGACATTTAGAAACACAATAATTAAAAAAAATATGGACCCATAAAATATTAATATTTATATTATCAAATTTACTATAAAAGTATTCTTTCATATTCAAATTATTACAGCTATAGTGCTTATAATGTCAAGTAAAACTAAAAATAATTTTAGAACTCACCTTGTTTAGAATTAAATTGACCTAAAGTCAAAGCTGCTTTACCAAATAACTTTCGTTTTAAATTATGAGTGTGCCAATGATTTTTATAATGTGCTGTTTGTTGGGCTCTTGATTCGAATGGACCAACTCCACAGCAAGAGCAGCAATTGCCATCAGAAGGTCCATTAAGAGTTAAAGCACTAAGACGCTTAATCACACTTGCTTCATCCACTGAGAATTTTAATATTTAATATTAATAAATACTTAGACACAATGAGCAACAACATAAAACTACCTATTGTGTTAGGTGCATAATATATTATATTAACCTAGATAATAAGTAATATATAAGCAAGTCTTATTTGTTGTTCTCAGCATATTAAAATAATCTTTAAAATTTAAATATCATGAGGAAAAATGGAATTAAAAATAAGGTTATAAATATAAGCTATAAACACATATTAAATTATTAAATTAAAAAAAAACTTACCAACTTGATGTGACTCGGTTATCATACATGCTGCTACTTTTACACCTTTTAGTAACTTTTCGTAATCATCTAATTCATAAACTTTTACAGTACTAGGTTTTATTATCTCCGTTTTAGTAGTCATTTTATTTATAATAATTTATACGTCCAGATAAATAAACTACTGTGTAATAATTGTGTAATGTTGTGTCACACAGCACACAGGCCGGCTGTAACGCCACTGTGCGTAATTCTGTATTAATGAAAATTGAAAACGCATGGATAAGTTTGTAAAATATTGTGCAATACATATAGATTTAATAGTTATTATACAATATTTTTTTCGATTTCTCAGAACACGACATTTTGACAGCTGTTTAATTCTGATAGTGATACGTCAGATGGGTAGTGATGCACCAATTTAATCGATACACGATTGATGGATCGTTAGCAATAAATCGATAAATTACTACTTTATACGATATATTTTTTATTAAAATAATTTATAGCATTTTAAACAAACATATAAACAAAATTGAAGAGTATTAATGTAGCATATTAATGTTATGATATAAGAAAATACAAGATCCTATTAACACAATACGACTATTATCTATCTTGGAAAAAAGAGATTTTTTAAAACAAATGTACTAATGATCAATTTGATAAAATATGGCTATCATCGCGATAACTTGAAGACACAACTCTTGAAGAGCCCTGTATTATACGATCTAGTCAATTATTATATAATATAATGAAGTCATTAGAATATTATCCATACTATAAATAAATATGTATGTTGGGACATTAACACACAGCGCCATCTAGTTCTATGGTAAGCTACGAGGCTTGTGTTATGGATACCAGATAGTTGATACACTACACATATATAACTTTTAAATACAAACATATTATAATATAAACAACCATAGCTGGAGTACAAACCTTCGTGCTCATCACACAAATGAATGCCTCCAGCGGGACTCGAACCCGCGACCGCTGGCACAGCAAGTAGGGTTACTAAAAACTGAGCCAATCATGTCGTCATACTAAAATAATATTATAACATTTATAGTCTTTTCACATTTAATTTAAAAGTTTGTGAGGATGGATTTATCGTAAAAAAAATTAAAATTCTCGTGGAATAGATTTGTTTTAGACTAGAAATGAACCGAACGAAGTGATGATGAGTCGCTAGTCTATAGAATAATAAAGAAATGCTGATATGAAGAGGAGAGAAATGATGATGGGCAAAACCTTGTACCTATATTATGTAATTTATTTATTATATTTATTTTTAATAATAGTTATTGCAAGAAATTTTATGGAACTATTACTAATTATTACTAAATGCTCACATTACATTGAAAAATTCTATATCTATAAAAAAAAATTTCTTCTATAGATTTAGAATTTCTCAATACATCTAATGTGGACATAAATGATCACATTGCATTGTAAATTGTAATAATTAGAACTAGTTTTTCTTCTCTTATAGAATTAAATTTGAATTACGGATCATATTTGCAAGTATGTATTTATTAATTTAAATTTTTAATACACACATTGTCGGAAAATATGAGTTGATAGATAAATTAGTATAAGCGTCGTAATCTGTTTGCAATAGTCATTATGTAAGTCTCATAGTCTTTTCTGAGATTATTATGAACTTTTATCTAAACATGACATTTATAATTTCGATTTAATTTGGTATTGCTTTTTAATGGTTATCGATTAAAAATTGATAGATTTTTGCAATCTCTATTATAGAAAACAGATAACGAAACAATTTAATTGAGTAAATTCTTGGGTTTTAGCTCAGAAGTTGTGTTCAGTTTTATAAACTCCATAATAAAAAAGTCTTTCATGTACAATCAATTTATTCTTAAATATATAATGATGTGTATATATATTAGTATATAACTATATAATGATGTGTATATATATTGCTATTTGTATGGGAGAACTTAAAATTCGGTGGAGAACCTCTTAGAATTGGAATTTTGAGCTCCGCTTTCAACAGGAGCGTTGTTGGGACATTTTCTGATATATTTTGGGGTGAGAGCGAAAAAAAATATCATCATTTTTTGGCACACCTTAATATAATATATAGATTCATTGTAATTTTTATTAAGTCAAAATAAAAAAAAAATAATAGTATTTAAGCATTCGTGTGGCGCTAGCTTAAATAAGTCTAAATCATGATGTTGTTGTTTAAAAGACGAAAGTATCAATAATAATCGGACTACCTACTGTTTTCTTGCAAAATTTTGTCTGTGTAAGTTTATTCACCCTTCACGCTGAAACGCTGGAAGAATTTGGATGAAATTTAGCACACGGATAGTATAAGAACTGGATACCACGTAGGCACCTGTTTATCACCTAGGGACGCGAACGAGAGAAGCGATGATAAGGAGCGTAGTACCTACATTAATATAATGAAAGAAAGACAGAAATATGTGTTATCAATAAAAATATAATAGGTTATTTTTGTAGGTACTACTTTATACTTGCTATACCTTTTTGACAGGTTTATAATGATAAATATGTAAATATATAATGCAAATTATTATATTATTAGTTTAACTGACTGAAAACAAAAGTATGAACTTTTAATGGTGAAATAAATTTTTAGTGTTTCATTTAATTCTTAACTATGTATATATGCTCGTATCATACGAATTAAGTAATAATCTTTTTATTTGATTGATTTATGTCGATATACATAGATATATGTAAATTATATATCATTTTATCTTGAGAAGGAAATAAAATGAAAAGCACAAAGAAAGTAAATACAGTTTTAAATTAAAAACATGGCTTCGATTAGATCTAAAGACTAAACATGGACTCTGTGAACGTCTATGCAAATCGTCTCGCGATAAATTACACCTTAAAGGGTAACTCTATAGATAAGGTTTCTCGTGCGCCTATCTGTCCTACCGTCAGTTATACCCCACTTGCCCCGAATCTACAGACAAGACATAAGAATTGGGATATCCATATAAACTGTCTCACCAGTCGTATCGAATCGTCCTACCGGAGTCTGAGAGTGATAGGAATAGAGACTGCACGTTGTGTCTGCGCGTACACTTGTGCACTATAATATCTCCTGCGTAGTTGGTTAGTCTCAATGAGATTGGCCACCGTGGCCAGATCCGGTCACTTGTATTAGGAAATTTAAAAAAATGTTAATATCGGCATCATGTAACATGAGGCATCACAACACCCTTCATACTACTTGATTAGAAATTGATTAACTTTCTTTATTTCTGATCATTAAACAAACTTTAACAGATGTATTTAATGTTTTAATAATGATGTACCTACCATAGTTTTGAAGATGTCTTAATCATTATTAAAATGAAACAGTCAATTTCTTAGTTTGTACCTTATCTACACAGCATTGGATTAACGGACCGATATGATTTTTGCATTGAGATGTCTTCTGGTTCCTGAAAAACGCTCAGGTTATAGTAGTTTAGGCTTGAGAGAAAAGGTACACAGTACTATTTTTTATAATAGGTACTAGAGTTTGCTGCTATCTTCACCCGCATAGTTTAATTATAAATTTATACAACAATTGCTTCACTCCTAATAGCATAGCGCAATTTAAAATGTATAATTAGCCTATAAAATCCTTCCTCAATAAAAAGGTTATAAACGCAAAAAGATTGTTAGGGGTCGGTAGTTGAATTGTTAAAACGGAACCTTTATAATTTCGCCTCGCCTATCTTGTCCGTATGGGAAAGCCATTTTACTCGAAGACTATTGCAGCTTCATTGCTATTTAGTAGATAAGTAGTGTCTCATGTAAATAACTAGATAATTCCGTCAAATTACAAAAATAAAAATATAGGCACTTCATACGTGTATACCAAGGAGTCAATTTTTTTGTAACTTTACAGTAGTTTGTGAGATATTTCTGGATATGTTTTTATTGTTCAAGCTAATATGTAGTTGCAGAGATATGATTATGAAGTTTTTGTAAGAAAATTCTGAAAATAATTAAATAATATCGCTTCTAAAATATTTCAGCTTTGTATATTAGTATATATATAGGTATATACAGATATTATAGCTAAAAATGGAAAAGTTAAGACACTAAGCTCTCAAAGGTAAATTCTCTCTACAAAGTAAGTACATTAATATATGTAGTCAAAGTCACTATAAGGAAGCCTTTGAAAGCACTACATTGCAAATTGGTTACTTCCGAGCGGATATTTTGCGTTACGTACGTCGCAACTATAAATGATTAAATCAGGAAAACCTACTACTTCAATAACTTTGAACTTCTGTATGAATAACTTTTTTTCAAGAAAATGCACGTTTAAAGATAACATTTTCTCCAATTTAAATTTTAATGCAAATATATATTCATAATCTACCTATACTAATATTATAAAGAGGTAAAGTTTGTGAGTTTGTGAAGTCGTAGAGGGTAATCTCTAGATCTACTGAACCGATTTATTTTATCCCGGAAATCACCCCTTAAGGGGGTGAAAATGGGGATGAAAGTTCCTATGGGGAATCACGAACCCGACCGAAGCGAGGGTGAGTTGCTAGTATTATATATATTTGTCCTTCGAAATGATATAGTTTTACCTTCAGCCTATAAATACATAAATTTTTGTATTTTTAACAAAATCGTTTCGAATGCTTTACAACGTCGGGATCCAAAAATCAAATTAAATTTGTAAAAAATTCGGAAAGATAGTTTTATTTAAAATGTCAAATATTCGCATAAGTCTAAGAAAGTATTAAATTATTTAGAAGTCGGTACAACATTAGCATATATGCTAATGTTGTACCATGTATACATTAGATATGCCACATTTAATATGTAGAGTCACCGCACACTGCAAACTTCTAATATCAGTTGATAGCTGATTTAGTCTTGCTAATAATGACTAATATGAATAAGTGACAGGTATACTTTATTATCTATTGTGTGAAAGAGGATATGTGTGTGAAAGGTATGAGTGCTGAGATGACAGCTAAAAGAGGGAAGTAGAAGAACATGTCGTACCGACCTTATATAGCGATTAGCGTGGGATAAGGACAAGGAAAAGGAGAAATTGAAGAAACGTAAGAAAAAAAATTATAATCCGATAGGAAAATAATCTGCAGCGTCACAGTGTCTTGGAACTCTCAATCTTTACTCTTCTTAAATCAGAGTTATTTTGTTATACCAGTTCAAAATAAAACAGTTAATTAGTCAGAAACATTTTATAGTCGGTAGGCACTATGAGAAATTATTTGTAAAACAAAATATGACAATACTATTGCGTAATTGCTGTAAAAAGAACCAGTAGAGCATATTATTTACAGTACTAATTAATTGCCTTTTGACTTTTTGACCAAGAATGATTTCCAATTAATTATTTTCACTAACAAATGTCCATATTGCCGTTCATGTGGTGTGTTTCATAAATATATCGTTAAATGTAATGTATGTATGTAAATGTAATGTATGTTTAAAACAATATTTTATTGTAATTTATAAATAATAATAGCTAGATAGTGTTCAAATCTTTATTGTGCTTTAATGATGTCATAATGTAAGGCATCTTGGGATTGGTTAATATGTACTTAATAATAATAACGGATATATACTAAATTACGTAGTTTAAACGGACATTAATTATAGTATACAATATGGATGACAAATAAAAGTACTAAGTATACAATATGACACTGACAAGAGGTAAATCTCTCATCGATGATTTTTTTTTATTTAGGTATTTTCACACACGCATTCTGAAAATATTATCTTTTTGAGACAGTCGTATAAAAATTGAAAATTTTTATTATAGGTGGTAATATTTTTAAAAATAATATTATTAAATAATAACTAAGAGTAAGACCAATAGAGTAGAGTAAGAGTAATTAAACATAAGGTTCATTGTTAAAAGATCGCTTAAAATCGTGACTAAAATAATTAAGAACAATATATTATATGCTTCAAACAATTATCATTTTCAACAAAACCATAGAAAAATATATATGGCATTAATAAAAGGATATTATCAAACTTATACCAAGTACTCTATACTCCCGATACTAAAAAATACGTAAAGCCTCAGTCTTGTGTAAGTACGTAATATACAGAGAGATTAATAATAATAAGTATGTATTATATATACATACATATATGTGTGATCATTTAGTGTGCACTTACTACTATTAGTGGCCCAAACAGATTTGTCCAGAGAGTTAGTTTAACTACTTTTTTTTAAGTAATACCTCTTATTCTGATCCCCAGATCATTTCGAGTGTTGCATCATATTCCTATAACCCTTTTAATATAACAATTTTAAAAAATCAATACAATTTTTTAACTTCTCAAAATTTTAATAAACATTGATGCTATATTGAGTTTTAGAGCTAAAATTCCATAACCAACCAGCTATAGCCAGAAATCGTTCTTGGTTGGTCCGTCGCTCTTGTTTTATTTCATGTTAATGGTGAGGCGTGGTCTTTTATCAGTCGGATTAATGATCAGTTGGGCCAGCCCACTAGAAAACGTCATTTACCTCTTCATTTACCAATCCTTCAGTTACCAATATTTTAAACTAGATGGCAGAATAAACGCGCGCCCATGGCCCCATATGTACTATTTACCCGACTGCGCGACGCAAAGGAGGGTAATGTGCTTATCAGCCTATGTATGTATGTGGATTTGTACCTCTGTGGCACTATTTAGACCAAACGCGTGGGCCGATTTTAATAAATGACACGTTGTTTGATTCGTCATGATGGCGCGAGTGTTATAGAAAGCATAAAAAATGGGAAAAATCAAAATGGCCGATTTTAGCCGCCATAATGTAAAAAAGAAAAAAATTAAAATTGACGAACTATGTCAAGTGGGGTATCGTTGAATAGGTATTTAAAAATCATTTTTAGGTCGCTTTCATCATTTTTCATTTTAAATAACAGTTTAGGATACATAATGATTTTAAGTTGGTTAACATTCTCGCTAATTTTCCTACTTAAAAATACTTGAAAAGCTGTAAATAAATAAATATATTATAAAAATTAAAAACCCGACTGCATAAAAGCTACATACGAGTATGTACATCTCGCGGCAAGGATGAAACGTGTATGTCTCCGACTGCATAATACTATATTCCTTCGTGAACTTGTTTTCGTCTTTTTAGTTAGCTTTTATGCAGTCGGGTTTTTTATTTTTATAAAAGGTATATTTAGTTATTGAACACTATAGTTTATTCATCACATCACATCACAGATCACATATTGCTGTACAAGCGCCTTTATGCTTATTGCTTAGTTCTATGACACTCTGTGTATATTATTCCTTTGTTTGAGGGCGTTATCCAGATCTCACTAAGGCAAGATACAAACAAAGATAGTAGATCCAATCTAGAGGTGTCCAATGTTCAATCAAGATTCAGTCAGAAAGCAATCAATATCAGCATCTGGTATACCTACTAATACGAAAAGTGAATGATCCATCTGCATATGTTAGTGACAAAAACAATTAGGACTTTTTATACATATTTTAGTCGTGGATCGTAGGGCCCTCAAATAGGGTTTTCCGTTATAGAGTGGTGATTCTATTTATATCGACTAGCGATTTATTTCCACTTCCCTCGGGTGCGTCCCTAGACCTACCAGTATCCTGTATACTATATGTTACTCTGTATGCAATATTTTATTAAAAAATCCCACCAACATTTCAGCGTATACAAATTTATACATACAAAATTTCCATTTATATATTAATCAATTATATAACGTCCCATTTCTGATAATTTTACAAGCAGCAATTCGATTAAAAATTACCGAAAATTTCGTAATTTTATTAGTATTGGAAAGGTGTAAGTAAGATAGGTCAATTCAAAGTCCCAATTATAACTTCAAAAAAAAATTGATCAAGTATCAGTTCTAAAGTTCTAACAAAAGATGCTGCCGATTTTGATAGAAAATAAATACAGTTAGATTTTTTTTTAAATCTATATTCTGATCGCAAATACCTTTTTTTTATTTCTTTCCAAAACAACGAGTTTAAGATCCGAATAGAATTTATTGATCATTGGATCGATATCATTTGATTAATAAGGATAAAAAATAACAAAGTAATAAAGGAAAGTGTTCATTTTTTCCAATTCATTTTTCTGTCTCCTTGGAAAGTATGCATTCCTACCATTAATCAAATTACAAAAAAATATATGTCCTGTTGTTTGCACGCTAATAAAGCTTTTTTATGTAGTACTCTTAACGTATGTTAGACGGCGCATAATATCAGATAAATAAAATTAGTGAAAATAGATATAATTGCCTAGTTCTCCCGAAAACTAGAACAAATTTTGCAAAGAAGGATATTACATTTGAAGGAGCACAACTCTATAACAAATTACCATCTACTTTCAAAATGTAAGCTCAATTAACGGGTTTAAATCTCAGCTCTCACAATATATGTATATATATTTTTATTTTTCGCTATCGCTTGCGCGGTCGATATTTTGGAAAATAACAGATTTAATATCGTTTAATATACATACACTTATAACATTACACTTCTAACTATATCCTTAATCCTATCTCGTTAACTGAGTACCTATTTATGTGGCGACCATTTATATAATTTCACTTTATGTTACTATTTTGTTCTAGTAAGTGAAATTTTTTTAACTTATAATTAGTGAATACCTAATGTAAAATACAAATAGACATACACATTTTTAAGCCTATTGATTATACATATTATATTATCCTTTAGTATTAAAATATATTAAATTGAATTTCTTTATAGCAATTTTACTATAGGAAAATGCAATCCAATTAAAACATTAGCAATAAAAAGGCATAGCCTATTCCATTTTACTCAGCAATGCAATCAATGAAATCTTATTACATATTTTTATTAATATTATGTAACACGCTTTCGAAAATCACAGATGTAGAGAAAACTGAGTTTTGTGCGAAACTGACGTGTCAAAGTTCTGAAAACAACAGTGTTTGTGGCTTCCGCACTGAAGGAGATGGTTTTAGATTGAAGTTATTTGAAAACGAATGCGAGTTATTGAAATACGGATGCAATGTTGACGAGGAGAACGGTAAACTGTTTGTAGACTATCGTATTATTAAATTTTCTATCGCGTTATTGGGTTTGCGTTATATTGTGTTCGTATAGGTAACTAGCATTTGCTTAATATAGATATTTTTAAAAAGAAATACAATGAAAGAATAAATAAACATCTCAATAAATTTAAACTTAATTTTTAAAGAAACGAGTAAAAGTCTCTCATTTAAAAACTCTCTCGATTAACTTTTAAGATTTGAAACGAAGTAGAGCTGTTAATTTAACATGCTTACTCTAAACAATTTACTACTGCAAGTGTATATACAACATTGTGTCTCAGTTGTGCCAATTTATTTGGGGTTTAAATATATAATGAGAAATTATTCCTATCTGTCATTTATCTCATTACTGAGATACAATATTTTTCTTTGTAAGTGTTATGTATGTTCTATACTAAAAGATTAAAACATAACTAGAAATACAATAAATAAAAGTAAAATCAATATAGATTTCCGCGATTAATTACTAATATTAAAGCTTGAAACCGTGTATTATTACTTATAAATATTATAAAGGACTATTCCATGTTGCAGCTTACGGATTAATTAACAGAGAGTACTGCGAACAGTCATTTGCAGCAGATTTTAATAAGAGGTCAGATTATCCCAAGCGTAATGAGCAAAAACTCAATAATATACTGCTTTACAAAGACAACGAAGGAAATTGTAAACATTTTCATTGTATACAAAATAATGCGAAAAACGTTTGTGGAATTAGAAAAGATGGTGTTGGATACCGAGTAAGGTTTTTCAGGAGTAAATGTGAGATGATGAAACATAATTGCGAAGAAGATTTGCAATTTACTGAAACTGATAGTTTCATTTGTGAAAGCGACAGTGTTTCGGACAAAGATCAGTTGTCTAATAAAAAGACTTTAAATGATAAAAACGTTATTAAAAATAATGAAAATATCGACAATATTACCAATTTGGTAGTAGTCAATAGTAATTTTCTTGGAAATTACAGTGACATAAATGATACTGTTGATACATTTTTTGCTGCATCTCATGTATTTGATTTGCCAATGAAAGAAGTATTTCCTTTAAACACTAGGCGGAGGTTGTTAAAGTATGCGGGGCCGATAAAAGTATTTGTACCTTGGATTGTAAAGCCTGACAATATAAGTGACGATTATTTGAGTATTCCTACACTCTCTTCATGCTACCACAAGTGTCCATTTGTAAGCTTTATTTAATACCTAATTCATCTATACAAATGATTGTTTGGTGCAATGCCATAATTATTGACTAAAATAAATGTCACAAGTTACTGTCTGTCAAAAAAGTTACCAATATATTTGTCTGGAGATGGTTAAGCACCAGCTTAGTGTACAAAGCTTCTTTATTTAATTTCGAAGTGTTCAAAAATGTATAACATTATTATCATTTATATTTAAATATTTATTATATTTGAATTGGAAGACTAAAATATGTATATTAATTTATACATATTCTAGTCTTCCAATTAACTTTTTAAGCAACAGACATTTTTTTAATGACAAACTGAATCCTTATAGTACCTTCATCACACTCACTCACGTCTATCTGTCGGTATGTCATAGTCTGTTTTCTCAGAAAGTACAATATGGGTACAAGAAATTTTGACATAATATATATTCTAAGTAAACTAATTCAGGTAGAGCAATAAAATTAAGTCTACTCGCTTGGAAAGATATTACTCTATATATATATATATATATATATATATATATATATATATATATAAACATTGCCGTTCATTAGCCTCGTTGAAACTCAAAAACGGCTGGATCAATTTGAATAATTCTTCATTTAATTTCTTGGGGATGTATGTGTGTTTTAAAAGTAGGTTATAAAAAAATAGGGAAAACCCAAAAAAACAGCTGGAAAATCGAAAAGACCAGAACTTTTTATTTTGATGGAAATCACTACTTCGAATTACTTTCAATAGATGACGTTAGTGGCGGATCAATCATCTACAACAATACGTCTCAGTTTAAGTTTAAAAAAAATGGTATATGTATGTATATAATATACCTATAGTCTATCTATTCCATACTAAGCGTTAAACGAAATCGGCGAGTCCCTTATTATAAATAAATAATGTAAACGGTATAATAAGGACAAGATAATTGGGCATTTTCTTAACCCTACCATGTTAATCAGACGGAGATTCTAAAATCTAATTTTATTAAAGCAAAACTCTATTTATTGGCTTGTCCATTTTTCATGCAGCAATGAATAACGAATTGATATATTTTTTTACATTGTGGCAAAGCGAGCACGTTACAACTATGATTTAAATTAATATTTTGAATTTTATGATTGACGACACGTTTGGCTCAGTTTTACTGACAGTGCTTGCTGTGCCAGCGGTCGCGGGTTCGAGTCCCGCTAGGAGCATTCATTTGTGTGATGAGCACGAATGCTTGTACTCCAATTATGGGTATTTATATTTATAGTATGTGTGTATTTACATATGTATGTGTATTTCAAGTTATATATGTGTAGTGTCAACTATCTGGTATCCATAATACAAGCCTCGTAGCTTACCATGGAACTAGATAGTGTTGTGTGTCCCAACAACAGTATTAATTATTACAGCGATGTCCAGACACCTACGCTCCCGTCTGTGGAGTACCCGGCATAGTGGCACGAGAGCCCTCCATTATGTTCCAAAATCATTGTTTCATGGATGTCGCTCAATGTAAAATGTTCTGGGAGAACAAAAGCGCTACAGCTCATAGTTCATGTTAGTAAATTATTCTACATTAATATAATAAAGAGGTAAAATGTGTAAGTTTGTATGTGAATTGTTGTGTGATTCTGAAAATTCTATATCTAATAAGGAAATACTAATTATAATTACCGTCACCTAAATTTAATTAATTATTACCGTCGGGTGCTACAGGCTATTTTTTATTTTAATAAAAATGCATTTACAGTCAGAAATATTAATAATTTATTTAATAAGTCGAATTAAAACTTATACGAAAAAAAGTTGCTTCATCGGTTACTGTTAGGCGCCTAGGGAGGCACACGAGTGACGTGAGGGTCACTAGTGTTGTTTATTAAAAAGAAATTATTTAAGCGTCAAACATCCAACACACATTGCAATCAATAGAAAATTAAATATGGAGTATCGTCTAATTTGCAAAAGAAACGACGTGACGCTAGGAGGAAAAAATTATTACTAGCTAGTAGCTACTTAGGTCTTACTCGTAAGATGATAAAAAATGCATTGTTTTACTACTTTTAAATCCACTTTCTCAAATTAAAATTCTATTGAGAAAACCATAAATATCACACTTCTTGGCAAATTTATTATATGTGTATATGTTTGATACCCATTTATGCTAAAACGGCTGGACCTATTAGGATGTAATACACAAATAGTCTATCATCTAGAGTAATAAATACATAGGCTATTGTTGTAATAAAATTTGCCGAAACGTGGTGCTACCTATACTTATTTAGTACTAGTGACTCAGCCTCGCTTCGGTCGGGCTCGTAGGTTGCTGCCCCATACAAATTTTCATCCCCATTTTCACTACCTTAAGATATGATTTCCGGGATAAAAACTATCCTATGCCCTTCCCAGGGTCTCAAACTATCTTCTTACCAAAATTCATTTAAATCGTTTTTGTACTTTCGGAGCTTATTCGGTACAAACAAACAAACAAAACAATCTTTCCTCTTTATTATATTAGTATTAAGATCATAATAAAAAAGGGAACGCATGCGACGGAGAGACGGTAAGTGCTAGTACCTAACAATAATAAATATTGTTACTAAATATTAAAATATTATGAATCTTTCAATTATCGGGAAATAATTTCTCAATACCAACACTACTGCGGATTCAATGAACATAAAAGTAAACAGAAAAGAAATTACAATTTCGAATTAACTAGCTTTGATTAAATAGAAATTGCATTTGATAAAATATATTTAATTTGTATCGAAGTCGATGAACAAGTTAATGAAACAAACAGCGTTGAAGGGAGGCGATAGAGTTGGAGGGGTCTAGTTATTCTGATCATGTTACATAATATGTGGATGTGTTTATTTATCTGCATATAACCGTTTAAATTGTGCACCGGCATCAAAGGCTTGGCGATGACAGCCGTTCAATCAATACCGTGTATTGACGCCCAAGGCACTTGTCAACGTCTGTAGCGCCTACACTGGTATCAAAATCTGTTGCGTCTATCATTTTGTACGAAATGGTGGTAGTTTCAATTACGAAAGGGTTGCTTTTTTACACCATCGATGAACAGGATGTGAGAGATTTGACCCCATCAATGTATAGCAATTATTGTTTAGTTTTGTATGTACGTTTACATTATGTTTTGATAGGGATTTTGAAGTGAAATTTGTGTTTATATTACACTACACTGGTTATGGAAAATGTTACCTACGTAGTACGTTATAAACACTAAAATTAATATTGTATCTATACTAATATTATAAATTTGGTAAGAAGATCGTTTGAGACCCGGGGAAGGGCATAGGATACTTTTTATCCGGGAAATCATCCCTTAAGGAGGTGAAAATGGGGATGAAAGTTTGTATGGGGAATAAACCAAAGCTAGTGGATTTATAATTTTACTAACGACTTACCCTCGCTTCTTTAGGTGTCTTTTGTATTTATAATATGTAAGACCGATAGATTCACCTTTCGAAAGTTCTATAATGACAGTAGCCTATGTATTACTCCAAGTCATAATTTATCTGTGTAATAAATTTCATCTAAATTCGTCCAGCATTATAATGTGAACCGTGTAATATTAAGCGTGGTCATACTTAAATCGTATATATACATATTTACTTATCACATATCTTTTTACAGCCGAAATACTGAACGTTGTGACGGAGATAAGTTATATTTTTCTGACGGATATTTGATTAATGATTATTTTCATCACAGAAACAAAAACAATGTCTACGTTATAAGACTACTCACTTGAAAATTCTAATAATATGCGAAAATGACGTGACTTGATAGATTTTGTACTAGACGAAATAAATTTTATTCAATCGATCGTCCGTCGTCCGTCCGTCGTTCTGAGTCCTCTTATAAAGTTGAGTTAAAAAGAATAAATTTGAAATGCGTAGCATTTGTGAACAACGTAGTGTAGTTGTAGAAATGTAAATGTTAGAGAAATTTATGTATAAACTCATATATATATTTATATATATATATGAGTATATACATAAATTGCATTGCATTATGTATGAATGTCTAACATTTTTCTAAATTACTTTATATCTTGAAATTTGTAAGCAAAACGGTAATTTCATGGATTTTTATGGCCAAATATAAAGAACATGTGGGTTATATGTATGTAGGTTTGACAGTATGCAACTTTAGCTACTTTTGAACATTATATAGTGACATTTATTTAAGTTCTTGAAAGACGTATGAAGTCCTACAACTCGCATTTCACGCCAAATGATGTGGATTTTGGCTTTGGCTCTATCCCACCTGCTAGTTGCTACTCATCGCATTGTGATATTATCAAGCAGTGAGGCTGATAAGGTTTTAAATTATTATTATTTTTATTTATAGCATATGTAGAAGCATCATTCCTCTTTTGCATGGGAGATGAGATGAACGCCGTTTACAGATTTTTACCAGCGATAAGGACATTGCAACACATGGGGCGTTTGAAGAAGAAAGGAAAATTCAGATCTAAACTAAGAAACTTTAGACATGTAAGCGACTTTAGATCTGGACGGCCAAAGTTTATGGGTTGAATAAAAAAGTGCTGCGTACATATCTTTTATTATTCCGATCTTTATTGGTATATTAGAAAATTATGAATATAGTGAAATTGTTTATTAAGTTCGATGCTATGTCTCAAATAAAGACTGGAATGAACTTATAGAATATATCCTCGTCCTATTGTCTTTACTGGAGACAAAAGGGCAGACTCGATTTTCGTCAAAAGGCTTTGCTATTTAGCAGGGAATTACAGCTAGCATTTTCATTTTCATGCAGATATGAATTGTATATTGAATATTAAAGGTACTCGTACATTTGCTATATACACTATAAGTTTTTATGATAATTGCCCCCGAAATTTTTTGAAGCTGTAAAGTAATACCTAATATTCCTATTGCTTTATAATTTCTATATTAGGTAATAATATTTTAATAAACTTCATAATTATTTATTAAAAATATTATAGGTTTAGTATTGAAAAATAATAATGTGTCATTAAGAATAGTTTATCGTTCACTTGTCTGTGATGTTAACATTTAATTACTTTATACGTGAATATGGCTCTAAAACAAACAAGTTTATTCTAAACTCGCAAATAGGTAAATATTATTATAATTATAAACGAATGCAGCACCATCTATCTACATATTGTAATAGTCAAAAAGTTGATGCAGCACTATCTAGTGGCGAATTATTTACTATAAAACTTTTTCAAAAAATATACATGAACAATATTAAAGCAATCTGTGAAGAAATGTTTATTATTGGCGCTTATTCACAAACGAACATTTACATTTTTCTTTATATACATATGTAGATAAACTCGCACTCCTGCTTTATTAATTGAAAATATTTCATTTATTGATTAAAATAACCTCTTAAAGCTTGATTAAATGAAAATTAATTTAAACATAAAATGATGGAAGTATTTTATAATGGCCTGTTAATTACTTTCCCGGTGTATGTAGTCCATATCCCACGTATGTCAGGTAGTCAAACAATGCAACGCAAATAGCGTCTGACCGAAAAGTTACCGCGAAACGTAGTTTATTAAATTCCGATAATAATTAAAATGAAAATTTGAGGAATATTGACGCAAATTCAAAATTTACATTCACCACTATTGAATATTACAAAAATACCTATATTATATGTGTTTGTAATGCAAATTATTGATAATTAATTAATTTATTTATTTTTGGGAAATAAACAGTATTTAAAACACTTACAGAAAATACATAAAAGACTGTACGCACACCAATAAAGGCTCCACGAATATACATATCATGTTAAAGAGCAGTCAAAAAAGAGAAAAAACAAAACAAAAAAACAGCAAAAAAACTTACAAAACCTTACAAAAAAATACTAATTATTGCTAATCTAAATGAAATTATCTTCTTCTTCGGCCTGCCCATTTCCCAATCACTTGGGGTCGGCGCAGTACATCTTCTGAGCTGCTGAAAGGATTTGGCAAAAGTTTTAGGACCGGCCGCCTGCCACATCAACCCTCCTTGGGAATGCTATTGTCTCTCTTTGTCTGAATGGTGTCGCGGAAGTCTTGTAATTATTATGCACTTTCGATATTGTTGTCTTTTAAAACATTTTTATACTATTACTTAAATTTTTAATGTTATTTTCCGATATATTTTCAAATAAATTTTGATTACACCATAAATTTTGTTTTGACGTTGCCAATTTTTTTATTGAAATATTTTTTTTTACCTAAATGAAATTATAATTACAAGTATTCCCTAATACTCTATGTCAAATTAATCTAATTAATCTATCTAAAATGTTATAAGTAGATACGAGTTTTAGGTATTCCGCTAATTAGGCAAGTAACAGTCAAGTAATAAATATTGTCAAAAGGTTCATTTACTTTCTTCCGGTGGTACAACAATTCGTCACTTCGGTTAGAAATTAAATACACTTGTTTTATGTGCTCTCAGACACACGACGGTGTAACATTACCAACTTCCCAAATCCGTGCTGCTACTGAAAATTTGTTAACAGAAAAAACCAGTAGCTAATAAGTATACTTTTCCCGACCTGAGACTCCAACCCAGGACATCAGGATCTGTATCCGTACATGCTAGCTGCAAAACTGACGAGGCAATATATACATAACTTTACCCTTCTAGCACTAACAATATAGAATTTTCTACAGCTAGAAAAATAACTTTGATGTAACGACATATTATGAACAGACTGAGTGGAGGCTGGACACATTTCATGTTGGTTAAAAGACCCAACTTTTGTACTAGTTCATAAATAAATTCCCTTGAGGGATCTTATAATATATTCTGTTTATGGTTGTTTACCCGATATTTTCAAAATAAAAAAATATATATTTAAATGCAGTATTCAAAATATGTACACTATACTTTTTTCTAAATATAAAACGGATCTGCAGCAATTCAATTTGGCGGTAGCACCTCCGGTATTTTTAAGCGGCCATGCACCTAGGCGATGGAGGATTTTATTAGTTTAACTACTTAATCAACGTGCCTTCAAAACGAAGTTATCCGTCGGAAGGGCATAACGCTTAATGACTGATAATATGATCAACTGGGGAAAAAACCCATCTATACCGATAAATAAAATTTAAGTGTCTGTTTGTAATGTCAAAATAACAGCTTTTTACTAAATGCATAATATGGAATTATATACGGTACTTACAAAAAACACAATTTTTAGTTTTTTTTTGTCTGTCTGTCTGTCTGTTTGTTCCAGCTAATCTCCAAAACGGCAGGACTGATTTTGACGGCACTTTCACTGGCAGATAGCTGATGTTATAAGGAGTATCTTAGGCTACTTTTATTTAAAAAAAATTGTGATGGCTCCGCTCAAAAAAATTAAAACGTACCTAAGAACGAAGCGGACGGGGACGGGAGCGGGGGTGTTAGTCGCAAGTTTTAAATATTTTCACAGCCTATGTATGGCGGCTTTTGCCTCGAGAACTGATTGAATTTAAACATAGAAAATACTCAAGCCTGTATGGTAATATTTTAGATCATTTGATATTCCATAGTAATTATTATTTGTATATATCTAGATTTTAATTTTAAGCATCTTTTAAGTAAGTTAAATTTGTAAATCCATATATAATTTAAAGCCAATGTCCAAAAACTTTGTTCAGATAAATAAAATTGACTAGTATAAATGAACTAGTAAATTGAAATCGATTATAAAAACCCATTTATGATTCAAATAAAAAAAAATGACTTCATAACTTATTTTTAATAAAATATTCTATTCAGTTTCCATGTTTTTTTTTTCTAAAAAACATTCTAATTTATATTTGTATTTACAATTCACTCAACATCAGTAGTATTGTAGGTAACAATACATACATAAAATTGTATACTCTTATACAAAACATGCACTTATGTATTACCAGCTGCGGTGTAAAACGTGATATGTATGTAAATTAATTAAGGCCTATACAATTAAGGTATCCATTGTAAAAGTAATAACGATGCACAGTAGGTACTTACAATATTACACGATGAAAGAAGACCGGAGTAAATTAGAGCTAACTGCTGTTGCGAATTCATACATCAGTGTAAAATAGAATAAAATTGATTGTTTTAATGTTAAACAATACAAACATTCCTAAAGAAATTTATTTTTAATCACTAGATACATATTATTAAAACATAGTCTGCCGCGTCTGTCTGTCAGAACGCAATAAACTCAAAAACTACCAAACGGATTCTTATACTATTTTCAATAATGGACGGAGTGATTCATGAGGAAGATTTAGGTGTATAATTAATTAAAGTTTTGTGTAAATTCGCTGACATATGACGATGATTGTGGAAGATGTCGAAAAAAATCATAAGGAAAGGAGAGGAGGGTTTTAAACAATAAAGTTATATGAAAATAATATATTAAGAAATTAATTGTAACCAGGGACCACCCAAGCGAAGCGAGGATATTTCGCTTGGGGTTATATAAGTCTTAGTATAGTATCAGTAACCACGAACTGCCTTAAATTTATCTGTTAATCATTTTAAAGTTAGAATTTTTGTATTGCTCAATTAAATATATTAATTTGATTCTAAGTGAGAGTTTCTTTAGTTTGAGTAGAATTAAGTCAAAATTACTGTTATATGGTTTCAAGGTTTCAGGATTTCAAAGTACGTAAAAGTTTTCATTTTTAGTGTTGTTTAGTGGATGAGGATTAAGAAAGCTATTTTAATATATTCACCAAAGCAATTTAGGTCAGTTATACCAATTATTATAATCCAAACATAATATATAAACTGCACAATCACACAAATTTTATTTTAAGGATTTCAAAGAATTACAAAATTCAAAATATTCATTCGTGTTTATATAATTGTGGTCTGATATATAATTATTACATATAGAAATACTAAGAAAATATAAAACTCTCTTTTATTTAACAATATTATCGGACGTGTCAAAACTAATCAAATAAGTCTTAACTCGAAATGCTTACTAGCTTTAAAGTGTTTTGCAATTCACTTTCTGCCTTCACCGTCACATTTAAAACAGAAACTGTTAAGTTTCTCATGGCTCCTCTCAGTAGAATGCATTCCAGGCCCGTAGGCGTAGCAGCTTCTTTTTGACTAATTACTCTAATACCTACTAAATAATACTGTAAAATAAATTATGGATTCTAAAATGTTTATATTGAATTAATATATATTATGTAAATAAGAGTAGGTTTCATACCTTGTATTATTATATCTTTAAATATATTTAAAATATTATACATACATACATTTGTGATGTATTTATACATATCGAATAGATTTGTTTTGTACCGACTGGTGCCGACTTCGAAAACATCTGATTAGGTATCTATAGTAAATGAAAAGCCCCGTTCAGTTATTTTGTTTTTTTTTTGTGCCTGGAAATAGTTTTTATTTTTCCATTTTTAAAACAAACGTAGTAATAGCTTTGTAAGAAGAAAGTATTTCAATAAAATATTCGATAAGTTAGTTTAATACCAACTATCATGATCAAAATATAATACATCCAAAGTAAATCTATCAAT